GTAATTCTTCCCAGGGTGAAATCATAGGCAAGTATTGATCAGAACAGRCTGTTGGCAAGAAAATTTGTGTAGGGGATTTCTGTTGCAACCACCACTATAATCCTGAGATACCATGAAGTTACTGTACTCTGGCTTGATGTTTCCTGATTAATAATGTAGTTCTTTAAGCAGCAAAAGTTGTGAAGTCAGATTTCCCTTGACAAGTGTTTTTTGACTGGATTMTGTCCTGCCTAGTGGTAGGTGGCTATGCCTGAAGCTCTGTACAGATGTAATATACAGCAAACACTTATTTTAGAATCACTCTTGTCTAGTGAGGCTCAATCTCCCTGACACATGCAAACACACAGATTGTGATTGTGCAAGCCTCATTTTTGTGGAAACCAGACTAAAAATTATGTTTAGAGCTTGTATTGAGCTGTAAGAAACAAAAGATTAAAAAGGTGTTGAGAGTCTGAAGAAGTGAAACTGGGTTTTGACTTCCTGTACTTTACAGGATGGAGACAGTAAATCAAAGTGTTTCCTCCATATTTCAGGGAAATAGGGTGTCTAAATTCTAATATAGTGTGATTTTGCACTGTAATTTCTTTAATTCCTTCACAATGGTTGTACTGAATTGGTTCCATTTGTAAGAGGTGATTTTTCAAGTAATCTTTATGCAAAGTTCATGAAACAAAGAGTTTGACTTCCAGGTCACTTCTTTCCAGCAGTAGAATCACTAATAAAAATTCTGTAATCAGTATGTAGTTGATACTTTAATTGCTGATACATGGCACAGAATGTAGTCTGCCTCATTTTCTCCCAAGATGATATTATCCAGACTTTCAAAGAACAGACACACTAAAKACACTGACACAGGGAAAGTTCTGGCTTGTGTGGGTTCAGCATGTGGAAATTCTCATTCCCAGCTATGTTAGGAATCACTTTCTCATCTGTATGATAAGGACAGTTATGGTTCCCAGTTTTTCAGAAGTTTTTGAAAACCACTGAAGAAWAGTGTTACGTTGGAGCTAAGTGTTTATTTTATGTGCTAGATAATCTTTTGTTCTAAGTAATAAATATAATTCTTTCCCCCAGGCTAGCAATACAAATCCCCAAGGCATAAATGAATACCATTCCCATTCACTGTTTTTTATGTGCTTAGACATTCTTGGAAATTGAGTGCACTTAATTCAACAAGTTTAGAAAACTTTTTTTAAAAAATTATTTAGAAGTTTGGAAAGACATTGCAGAAACAGAGCTAAAACTGTATGTGTGCATATGTCTCATATTTAAACAAAGCATGCAGTTAGCTGGTGAAAACTGCTCTCTGAGCTCCAGTTTTCATTTAATTGGGAACACAAACATATGAAAGTTGAGGCTAGTAATTTGATTTCAGAAGAAAGCTGCTTGAGACAAGCATCAGTCAGAGCTARCAGGAGCCATATGCTAGATGTTTTATGTAAGTGATGTGGTCTTCAAAAAAATTAGGAAAAACATGTTTGCTTTTTTTTTAAAGCAGATCTTTCCTGAAGAAGTTGTAGTAAACCTTCTGTTCAACAGGCTAAACAGTATTTGTCTGTAATTGATGTTAATGTATTATATTATCTTGTAGACACAAGATACTTTCTGTTATTGTGCATCAAAGAAGTTCATTGACTTAACTATAACCACAGAGTGTGTGTAATTTCCCAGAGCCACAGGATAGTCAAGATAAAATCTGACAAATTAGAGCTTCCCTGAGTGAGGGGATTTTGGCTTTCTATCATTAGGTATGCTCAAAATGTGTGGTAGGCTTTTTAAATGAGAGCTAGTGACTGTCTGCGGCAGACAGCTATGAACAACAAACTCTGGAGATCATTTTATCACAACCGAGGTGAAACGACAGTTTCCTCGTCATGAAAAGCACTCAGTGGAAAAGAGTAAAGCTTAACTTGCAATATTTCCTTACAAACCAGAAAGGCCCTCACGTAAATGAATATTTGTTGAACATTTCTATTTCATTGAAAGCCATTTAAATTATGATTTTATGGACATTTACAGTTACCTTTGTCGTTAATTAAATGGTTGTTAAGCTCCCAAATATTTGCAAGCAGGATGTGTGTTACCCTGGTATACTAACTGCTAGAAATTGTGTTAATATTAAGGAACCAGTACTGAATGTTTCATGTTGATGAGTTATGTGAAGTGTAGTAGTATTTCAGTGGAAATTCCTGGCTTGTTTGTGGTGACAAGAGTCCAGCTGACAAGGGGTCAAATGCAGTGCAGACTGWATATTTTCTGCTCACTAACCTAGAAAGCATTCCATGCTGAAGGCCTACTTTGAAAGGAAGAATTGTGCAAAGTTACAAAAATCAGGCAATTTTTATTATTTCTTAGCTTGTACTTAACCAGTTTTAAGTTAACAAGTCCCTCCTGGAAGTGATCTCTGAGATGAATCTCTGCAGGTTCATCGCAGTCAGGGGAGGGGGATGGGCTGCTCCTGGGAGTGAGCAGAGCAATTAGTTTCTGAGTTTTTGTCCAAGCATCCTTCTGGGGCACCTACAAGGCTGCAGAGCAAAGCTCTATGTATAAAAGTCCMTGAGTCCCTTTCCCACTTCAGGGAGTTGATTTTGGTATTAAGACCTATTCTTTACATTTAAAGTGTAGCTCTGCTTAGCTGTGAATGGATCATTCCAATGCAAAAGAAAGAAAGAGGTCTTGTTCTCACTCTCCCATCCTGGCACTATGTACATGGCTGTGAGAGTGCATGGCTGGGAGCAGGCATAGGGATAATTCCCCCAGGCTGCTTAGGTTTAAGAAATTGCCATGTTTTTGATGGTATAGATGAAACAATTAAGGAGTTGCTGCCCTGTACCTGGATGCCCTTAAAGCTACTCTATTCCATGCAAAACCAGGACACCAGAGATCGCATTTCAGTGCCCAGTGAATCTGATAAGATTAAACCTCTGCTGTGGCCAATATATGCCAATCTGTCTGACATTGCAGTGAACTCAGTTTAGTAGTTCTCACAAGGATACCCATGACACATAATCTTTGTGTTGAAGACAGTAGTTTCTTACATTGCTTAGCTAAATCTGCATAATTCTTGCTGTAATTTTGGTGCTTCTTAGACATGAAACTAATCATTAAAGGAACTGATCCCCTATACAAAGTGCATGGTGACTGGTGATCAAAGTTGGTAAATTTATGTGTCTGGATGATTACGAAGATTTGTCTGAGAACAAGTGTAAACTGACAGCAGATGTAATTATTAGTAAACAGAAACATAATTGTGATATACTTTATCCATTCTCAAATGATGAGGGAACAAATGGTGTTTGTACCCGTCATATGGAAGTGTATCAGACAGTCTCTCATATTTCCCTGTAAGATGTGTGTCACCTTCTTTGCCATTGTAATGCATGTGGCAGAAACTTTTAGGTGTAATTGAATAAAAAATGTCCAGAGAAGYTTGTATTTTAAGGTCATAATTCTGCAGTCAGATTAGAATGAGGAGGATCTTGGGCTTCACTGTGTTGCGAGCTGGAGGAATGCTCCTGTGCTGGGAAGGGAATGCAGCATTGATCTGGTCAGGCCTGATAAAGCAAAAGCAATCAAGAGATAGCATAGCACAAATGTGTTGTTTTAAATCWTTCTTGTGTCGTAGGTAATGTGTATCACTGGTGTGCAACAGATTGTAGAGCTTGTGATTGAAAACTGTTGCTCATAAGTCTCACTGAGACAGCTATGCAGTTTACTACTCCCACCAATATTTTTTCCCCCAAAATGCTSAGTATAATGCAAGAGTAAATGCATTTTGGTAATCAATTTTAGAAGCTGCGGCTCTTGTTTAGTAGACACAATAGGAATATAGAATTAAGAGGGCAAATATTAGATCTTCTAAATTGAGAATGAAAATTTTAATTTGAATTAATTTCTGTATTTGATTAATAATTTGATCACATGGTGTTGCTGTGTGACAGCAAAAATATATTAGGTAATTTTCCTGAAATTTCAAAGCAATTTAGGTTAAACTTTATCCCTGACTATTGACTGTTCTGTGGCCAAAATAGGATTTGTAGTCAAACACCCTTTGGTCTGTCTGTTACTCTTTATTATTCCTTTTTCACTGGGAAGGAATGTCTTTTACCCTGTTACTTTCCTGTCTTTTGAGATCACTGGGGAGCTGTTACCACTTCAGGAGGAGTTAGAGAGCAGAATCAAAGATTTATGTACTTAGATAAAATACATTAAAGTGCACTTGTATATGTGTAGGGATGCTAGTATTATCAAACTGTAATTTCTCCTATAACTTTTAAATATTTCAATTATTTTTTTAACTGTAGGTTAATTAATTCTTTGTAAAGACAACAGGAGAAAAGCTGCAACAAATTTAATTTCCAGGCCATCCTGAAACCATTGAAACTTCTCTTCTAAAAAAAACATCATTCTTACAAAGACATTTGACTTGTAGACCCAGTAGAGGTTTATTCAAGGTATCAGTCTCAAGTATTTTGATACTTTTGGGCCTCTAAAGAGTACTCTGTGCTTTATCAGCTGAGTGAAAATGTTGTTCATTAACGTCACAATTTTTTATGGTCTTCGTTACTATTAATAAAAAATACTATATCAAATGCATGGTGGGTGATCCATCCTTTGTAAGGGGAGCAAAATCTCCCCTTTCATGTCCAGAGAAATATATGCAACTGTTTTTTTTGCGCAGTTTCCTAGTAGGATGTTAAGCATTAGGTTTTGCAGCCATGAGTGTGCATTTATTGGCATTTTTCTGTGTCTGTCTGTTGTACTCTTTAAGAAACTATGTCAACATAGTCTATATCTCCCGTTTTCCAAAGTTGTCCGTCTCTTAAGTTTGGAAAGAAGCTGTTAAATGGTCTTCCATTTTATCCCCAGTTCAGAGACTGGGGAGAGCTCCAGAAAAAGAGAGCTTTAAAATATTTTCCCAAGCTGTATCTCTACATCCTTGTTCTGTGAGCAGATTTTTAAACAGAACACTTCATTGCACATCTGTTGTCTTCTTACAGGTGATGTATCACCCATCAGCATGTCTCCCATCACTCAATCACAGTTTATTCCACTTGGGGAAATCCTTTGCCTGGCCATCTCAGCAATGAACTCTGCCCGAAAACAAGTCACTCAAGAAGCACTAATGGAGCACCTAACCACCTGCTTCCCAGGTAACCCAGTCATTAATAAATCATCAGTCAGATGAACACATGTCTTTGAAAGGGCAGTTGAAGAATTCTCAGTACTTTCTGTATGGTAATATTGACTAATCCTGACATTCTAACCAAAAGTAAAAGGAGGCATTAGGGTTTGAGCTTGGCACATTTTCTTTATTCTTAAACATGGAGAATGGAGTTCTCTTGGATAAGGAATAATGTGAAATACATTTTTCAGGGCTAATTCCTTATTTTATGTAAGTAATAAAAATTACTTTGAATACTAAACAAGAAACTATTGGCTTGGGTTTTTTTTTTAATATGGTATCAGAATAAGTTTGTTTGTGATTTTTCGTGCAAAATAACCCTCTTTATTGTCGTAGCCAAAGGAGTGCAGGGCTTCTTTAGCAGGTATGGAGAGCAAAGCATGATGTGCGTGTCCAGAGCAAACTCATTTCACCTTGTGATTTTYAAGCCAGTTGTAGCTAGCTTGTAAGAGTTCTGTTGACATCATTCAACAAGTTCAAGTGTCATTGTCCAATCAATCTTCAAAGAGGTAACCTCATGAAGGTCTCTGTAGAAACCTCCATCTTGAAGACCTGGTTTCCCACACACTGAACATCTTCCTTTACAGAGGACAGGCTCTCTGATGTGTGATGGCCTGATGCAAGTAGTAGAGTCCAGTGAAAATTACGTGCCTGCTTTAGGGGGAGGTTGTATTTAAAGTGAAAGCACTGTCAGCCTGCTTTCCTGGACCTGTCAGATCCTTCTTGGGCACAGTTCTGTCTTTTGCTTCTGTACTGCCCGTGCCTGAAAAACAACGACAACTCTCTCCGTGACTAAACTGAAAGTTTTGGAGAGCTGTAGATACACTTGCTATATTCACAAATGCTGGTTCAGAAGATATTCTTGTCAGCATTTGGTAATATTTCTCAGATGGTTAATATAAAATGTCTTGATTAAAGATATGTAACATCAAAAAAAGGGATCCTATAACAAGAACGTGCTCTTGAATTTGCAGCTTCTGTACTGGCTGCCTGTATCTGGAGTGGGTGAATCATGCAAAATTCATTTTGGAGAGACATTTTACATTGTGGCACAAAGCTTGGGCAGAGGTTTACTGCTCAAGAGAGCAAAACTTTTCCATTTGTGCTTTAAATGATCCTGGGCAAGGTGTTTACCTATTCTTTGTCTGAGTTTAAATTCCCTAAAGTATTGCTGAGAAACTTCTCCATTGTACCTATTTTATGGCTGTAAAAAGCAGCTAATTAAAAATGCTTCAGTAGGAAAACTACTGATGCATCTGTCTCATCTAGACAGCCTAACCATAGCCGTGTTTTGATGTCTGGGATTTTTTTGCTTACATTTCAGATCAAGAGTTACTTAAAGCCTTGAAATTTACATGTCTTTTGCTATAACTGGTACTAAGCTCTGAGAATTTAAAATATAATTTTCAATTGAGAGCTGTATTTGAAATAAACAATTTTGTCTGACTTTTAATAATTGCACTTTGAAAAAAATACTGCAAGCGTATTTTGTAAATACTGGCTTTCTCTTCCTATTTGTATTTTTGTTTATCAGGGTTTTTCAGAATGCTTGGATGATTTTGAAAACAGTGGTAAAAATTGTAAGGGTAAGAAGGCAAAGTTCACAACTGTAATTATTTTAATTCATTTTGATGATTTTTTTTCYAAGTTATCTTTTCCATGCATGCTAGGTACTAGAAGAATTCCATAGATTGCAAGTATTTTTTCAATTATTCTATCAATGTTTTTATATAAACATTGTTATGTGGTGGAAATGATAATTTATTTGTGATATCCCTTGAGTTTCGTGGGAGCATGATTATCAGTTCACTTGGTGCGTTGTGCTATTCTTGTTAGACAGAACCAAACATGAAAAATAATTCAACTGGCTGGATTATTTTGTAGACATTGCTCAGACAAAGCCTGAGGCAAGTTAGCACATAGTCTCTTGCTTCTTTTTTTTTTCCCCACTAGCCATTAACATGTGAATTTCTCAAGTCTGAGATTTAAAAAAAAAGGAGAGCCTCACTTCCCAAAATGTAGAGAAAGTTATTTGAAGAAAAGAAATCCACCCTTTGTTGGCCAATTTTTCCCCTTCACTAGGGAAGTGCCTTTCGCTCCCAGCCATGTTTAACATTGTGAGCATACATGTTCTCTCAGCGTATGAGGATTATCAAAAATCCTTTACTTTTCCAATAAATAGAAATTCTTGTGCTCAGTGACACTTTTTGCTTTTCTGCCCAAATCTCTCTAATAAATTGGCTGTAGCTTTTTGGGCCCGTCCTTATATTTTTTGTGRCTATTGTAAAATATCTGATGTCCTCTCATATTCTGATAGTTTATTTTTCCTAACTGGGTTCTGGTGCTCTGAGGGAGAGAAGAAAGAGCATTAACACTGTAGATGTTATTATCACATAACCTCTCTGTATCTCTTCCTGTTGCAGCACTTCTCTGCCTGTGTTGTTTGTGTTTTAATGAACAGATGCTTCACTGCGTTTCATTGTGTGGATAAATTTCCTAAGACCCCAGATGCTATTCTCAAAAGTGTCTAGGAATGATAAACCTTTTCCTCAATTCAGGGTCTTATAGTTGCAGTCTAGCCTTCTAGTTTGCTGAGCCATTGTGCAGGCATAAATCTGGGCCATGGCTCTATCTGAAATAAGGTATGCTAATTATTTATAACATCACATAGCAACCACTCCACATCTTTAACTAGTATTTCATGAGCCAATCAGAGTATTTCTTTTATCCCTTGTTAAGCCGTAGCATCAGCTCAGGAGAAAATCATTTTAGCAGATTTAACACCATTTAAGTACTACTTTAGATGTATTTTTCATGAATTTATTTTATTCAAAAAGTTTGTAATGATAATGCACATCTTTTTTGTGGTTTTTGTTATTTGTTGGGTTTTTAAAAAGGCAAAAGGGCTGCTCCTGTATGTGCTTCCATTGTTCTAACTTAGAATTAAACAATGAGATGTTTGTACTGCTCTACTTTGTAAATTATTGACTGTGGTTTAARTCCCATACATTAAATGTAAATCTTTGAAATCCAGTATAAGGAGCTAAGAATGTAACCCCTGTTCTGTGTTTGGCAACCAGACCCTCTTATCTGTATGAACCTGGATGAAGAAAACATCAAGCCTTAGTCTGTGCTTCCTTTAGTAAGGATATATGTCTCCTTTTTTTTCTCCCCAATTTTGTCCACATACATATTTAAATAATCTTAAGACATTCAAAATTTCAGTGTAGAAAATACTTGTGTATTGGACTAGGTTGCTTTTGAAGCAAGCAGTTTGCTGATAGCTGGCAAATTCCTCTGACTATCACCTTTATAACTTCACACTTTAAATATATGAAATATATGAAATATATGAAATATATGTGTAGCACTTAAAAGAAGTGTCTTACATTAACTGAGTTCACTCTAGGTCAGTGTTCTTTGTGAGCGGCAAACAAGACATAATCTTCTGTCTGGAAGCTCAGTGGATGGCATAGTAGACTCTCTTGAGATACAGAAAATGTACATGTCTGATGATTCAGTGTCCAGACAGTTTCTGCTTTTGAATTATTAAACCACTACATAATCTTAAATAGCACCACTGCTGTCATGCAATATTTTATGTGCTGGAGTCTCTAAGCTGCTGCGTTTTTGCCCCTTGTTTCTGTTTAATGGAAGAAGGGAGACCAAAAAGAGACTTCTGAATGCAGGTGGGATAGGTTGTGTATAGACATTACCTAGGCAGGTTGCTGTAAAGAGAAAAGTCTTAAGAAAGCCAAGAAATCTATATTTATTCTGGATCCCATTGTTCCTTTTTTAATGTCACTGCTGCTGTCTGCCATGCAGGAAAGTATAAGCTGAGTTTGGGTGTGTTTCTGCTTTTGTAAGTACCTAAAAGAGCTTGGAATAAAACCCATAGCTACTGCTAGCTGACAATGCTGAGCTTCCAGGATCTCCCATCTGCTGTCATCTCTGCTGGCATAGTGAACCACAGCATGGACTATATGCTGGGATTGATAGAAGTGRTAGTCTGCAACTCCAGGGAAAAGACTGACACAATTAACTTTACAGCATCGTTGACTGCCAGGCATGCTAATTTTGTTTCTTTGGTGTTTATCTCCACATTCTCCATTCACAGGAGTTAGTCAGTTAATGTAACTAGCGTGCATCCAGTGTTTAGAGACACCCAACACATTGTAGCCCTTATGGTTTCCTGGGTGAAAAATACACATTATTATTTTTAGTATGTATTTGCAGTGCATTTTTGCCTGAATTGATGAAAAACATGAGTACATCCATTTCAATCTCTTTCCGTAACTTTTCTGTAAGCTCCCAGGAGAAATGCTTTTATGCCTTATATTTTTGTTGTGATGTTTTTGAAACAGTATTTTAAGAAAAGTCTTTTAAGTAAAATATAAGGATGAAGAACCAAGTTCTCACAAKGGTAAGTACATGTTGAAGTATTACTTGTAAGCTTCTGAAAAGTGCAATGTATTGAACAGCATTTTTATGCAAAGGAAGGAAGAGAGGTTGGCCGCTGCAGAGCAGGTGCACCTGAGTTGGACCATGGTTGGACCCTGCAGTGCATTTTCAGCACAGGATAGAGAAATAAATGAGTTTTGCRGTCATCCACGTATTGTCATAATGCAAGACATAATGATGGCATTGCCCAAGCAGACATAGCAGCKCTGCTGCCGGAATGAGGAGTTAGATGATGACTGGTTGTTATGGAGATTGAAATCACTGTTCATGTTCCTGTGTGCTATCAGAAGCTCATGTAGAAGACAGTCTGCTGCCCAGTTGCCACTGCCTCACAATCCAGGGGAAGCTTGCCATATTGTTTACTTCAGTCAGGAGAGATTTGGTATTCTGGGCTAGGGAGGAGTGTTCCTTTTTTTCCCAGCTCTCTCTGGATTTCAGCCTTTCCCACCTTTTTTTATTTCTGGCATGTTAGCTCATCCAGAGTTTCTGGGTGTCTTTGTTACTCTCTCTCAGATTATTTACAGAACACCTGCATGAAAAGAGGAGAAAATGCAAGCTCCTGATTCTCCATATTTTTACAATTTTCATTTTCATTTATGCTTTCAAATTATAACCCATCTTCACCTCTCACTTTCTGTGTCCAAAGCAGCCCCAATATTTCCAGCTCTGTGGACCATGCATGAAATATAATAACTCTACCCCAGCCAAAACCAGCACATGTCCCTGTGTACTTCTCCCTGGTGCCTTCTGTGTTGTAACTGCTTTCAGTTGTTCCTAACCCTTTGTTGTTTCCATTTYAAGACTTAAGGGTGTAAGTAGTATGGTCAAGTAACTAAGTTCAAACAACACTTGAAGTCAGACATAAGAATATTTACTATGTTGCCTGCAACCCAGTTGCAAGAAAGAGGATAAGTTAAGGAATTAGTACAATTTATCTTAATTTTTGTCACTGATCTTTTAATCAGTATTGCTGTCACAAGGAGATCAGTGAGCTTGCAGGCTCCAGCCTTTGACATGTTGGAGAAGAATTGGTGACCAGACTCTATGTACTACTGGAGAAACTGTGTTTGTGGCAGGTACCCCTGGCTRAGATTTCTCCACTAAGTGTTTTTGTAAAAAACATACACTTCACTGAAATGTTTCTGCATGCATTGAAATTCTGTTCTTGAAGGCAGAGTTTGACTTGACAAGGTCCTGACCAACCTGATCTAAATTGGCCAGAATTTGAGSTGGGGTGCTGACCAGATGAATTCATAAGTTCCCTTCCAACATAAGTTGCTTTCTGATTCTTATTTTTTCTACGTTACTTTTGCTTAAGAGAAAACTAAGACCCAGAATAAATAATACTAACTTTTTTAGTTTAAAATAGACTATCCAATCCTTTGGAAAAAAGGTCTGTAGTTCTAAAAATGTAAATCAGGCTAGTACTCAGGATAAAAGACATGTTAGTTAAACAAAATGTGTTGATTGAAAATAGCTTTTTCTACTGATAACCTGGAAGTATTTTTATTTTTTATTCAACTTATATGGATATTTTTAAACTAGTCTGTGAACTAAAGTTCTTGTTTCCTTAGATCTAGATGGAACTTACTCCTATACACAACATGCAGCATAGTGTTTCTTCTAATAAAATATCGAAGACTTGGTCAGCACCACTGAACCCAGCAGGTGAAGTGGTAGTAGGAAGGACCTGGCTCGCAATGCCAAGTCTACCATATGCCATTGATTCAGGATAGTCATACTGGTCCTTCTCCCAGTATGCAATACATGCACTTACGTAGTGTCCCTCACATCTCACATGAAAGACAATTTTGGGAGCTAAATCTGTAACTTCCAGCATAATGGAAAAGTCTTTCTGGGTAAGGTGAACTGTATCATTTAAGGTGTCTCTGTTTTGGAGCAGCTGATGTAGTCGAAACATTTTAATGGGAGAGCAAATCACTTAAATCAGGTTTGTGATAAAGGGACAGTTTGAGGAACTGCTTTTTTTCTGTGTAGTATTCTGTGGAAAAAGCAGCTTAGGTATCCAAAGTAACAATAACTACTGCTTCATATGTGACAAGGCTTTGTAAGAATGGTTCTGGTAAATTTGGATGTAAGTACTTAGTTGGAAGAAGAATAAAAGTAAAATATTTACCCTGACAGTCTGATTTTCAGTGATTCCTTCTTCTAGCTTAAGGTCACCTGTACAATGGAAGTGATTAGAAGTTCTCTTGGGGTTTTTTTGGCACTTTATTAATGGCCTCCTTTCTACTTAATTAATAGTTGATATATCTGAAGTGTAGGAGGTGAGTGGAGAAATAAATAGAGAAGAAAGTGCCTAACAAAATACTTTACTGGAGTTGTTTGTTCAGCATATTCCAGATTGCACATGGAAGAAGCTTTTTGTTGGGGACGGGGAAATCAGGGAGTCGTACACAATTTTATGCACTTCGTGATATATGTTTACTGTCATTTCTAGGAGTTCCAACACCCAGTCCAGAAATCCTTCGTCATACTTTGAATATGCTTGTACGGGAGAGGAAAATATACCCAACTCCAGATGGTTATTTCATTGTAACCCCACAGACTTACTTTATAACACCATCTCTCATAAGAACTAACAGCAAATGGTACCATTTGGATGAGAGGATACCTGACAGGTCTCAATGTACCTCTCCACAACAAGGAACTATAACTCCATCCACCTCAGGATGTGTCAGGGACCGAACACTACCCAAAAACCACTGCGACTCCTGCCATTGTTGCAGAGAAGACATGCACAGCATGCATGCATCTACCCTACAGAGGAAATCAGCAAAAGACTGTAAAGACTCATACTGTCCTCCTTCATTATGTCAGGTCCCACCTACTGAGAAAAGTAAAAGTACTGTCAATTTTTCATATAAAGCAGAGACACTCACAAAGCCTAAGGATGTAGAAAAGCAGTCTAAGAAATTTGGACTCAAATTATTCCGATTAAGTTTTAAGAAGGATAAGACCAAACAGTTGGCAAATTTCTCTGCCCAGTTTCCTCCAGAGGAGTGGCCGCTAAGGGATGAGGACACCCCTACCACTATACCTAGAGAGGTAGAAATGGAGATTATTAGGCGCATTAACCCAGACTTGACTGTGGAAAATGTCATGAGACACACTGCACTAATGAAGAAACTTGAAGAAGAAAAAGCTCAACGAAGCAAAGCAGGATCTTCAGCTCACCACAGCGGACGAAGTAAAAAGAGCAGGAATCACAGAAAGTCTCATGGGAAATCGAGATCGCACAGCAAGACCCGGGTGTCCAAAGGAGACCCATCAGATGGCTCTCACTTGGATATACCTGCTGAAAGGGAGTATGAGTTCTATGATCCATTGACTCGATCCCCACGGGAAGGCTGTTTTATAATAGAACACAAGGGAGATAATTACATAATGCACAGCAATCCTAACATGATTGAATCTCACTTTCCCATGACACCAGAGTGGGATGTGTCTGGTGAACTGGCCAAAAGAAGAACTGAAATGCCTTTTCCTGAACCTTCCAGGGGAAGTTCCCACTCCAAGGTCCATCGGAGCCACAGCCATACACAGGATAGAAGATCAAGGAATGAGCGGTCCAGTAAAGCTAAAGAAAGGTCTAGATCCATGGATAACTCCAAGGGACCTCTGGGCTCAGCTGCTTTAGGCACACCTGAAGATATAGGTGAAGGCTGTAGCCCAGATGACCAAACAACTAGCCAAGCCTATATCGATGATAGTACCTTAAGGCCATCTCAGTCGCTCAGTCATCAAAGGGCTCTGATATCATCCGCAAGCTACAAAGAGACTTGCATCCCTGAAAAAGCTGGTGGCAGTGTAGAAACCCCCAGTTCTTGTAGCCTATTGGATCAAGGCAAGCCTACAGAGAATTTGCCATCATATAGTGAACTCAACTCCTGCACAACAAAATCTGCAGTTGATGACTATTTTCAGTGCAACACATCCAGTGAGACTGTGCTTACTGCTCCATCACCTCTGGGAAAGAATAAAGAGGATCATGATACGCTAACAATGACAGATGGGCTGAAAAAAATGACTTCCACAGAAAGACAGTCTCAACATATTGCTAGGGAACCTGGGGTGCACAAGGAGGAGTCCCCAAAGGGCCCAAGCAGTGGTTCAGTGATTGCCAGCCAAACTCCAGAGGTGATTGCAAACGGGCGGCTGGTTCAACACCATAGCGCTGAATCAAGCAGCCTTGATAAAAGGAAAGAAATATTTAGCAAGGATACACTCTTCAAGCCTCTGCATAACACTCTTTCTGTGAACAGTTATCATAAGTCTAACACACCTCTGCTAAAGCCCCATCAAAAGACCCCCTCTGACACGTTGCCAGTCAGATGTGAGAAACTTGAACAAGCGATGGTAACCTCAGTCACACAAGTCATGCCTGTTTCTCAGAGACAGCAAGAGACAACAGGGAACCAGGAGGCCTCCTTTGACTACTACAAYGTATCTGATGATGATGACTCAGAGGAAGGAACCAACAAAAATGCCGAGGAAGAAAAGAACCGGGATGATGTTGGTACAATGCAGTGGCTCCTAGAGAGAGAAAAAGAAAGGGATCTGCAGCGAAAATTTGAGAAAAATCTTACCCTTCTCACCCCGAAAGAAACAGAAAATAGCAACAACCAGAGAGCCACCCACTCAGCCCGCCTGGACAGCATGGACAGCAGCAGCATTACTGTGGACAGCGGGTTCAACTCTCCACGGTAGGACTGTCACATTCATTGCAGCTTTAATGACTAGGAAGTTCCATTTATGGCTTTATGTGTGTGTGATTTTGGTGACAGAAACAATTTCACACATTTTCAGGCAGTGTTTCCTATAGCTCTGGAATCCTCTATTCAGATGTGTGGATTTCCCACCATCCAGTAAGAAACCAATGACCATTTACARCATTGATTCTGTAGCTGTTAATTTTTTGTTTGCTGAAAACCTCCCTGTATCCTTTTATTTCTGTGTTCAACTTGTGTTAGCATTTAGAATAGAAGGGATGAGCTCCTGTATGCTCTTCCCCTCTCTTTCTTTCCCTTACCCCTCTAAGATACCATCAACCAGACTAATGGAAAAACTAGGCATGACTAGGTGGCATAATCTTTGGTTCAGAAAAAAAGAAAAACAAATTATGTTGTTTTGTGTTTGGGCTTTCTTGTTTGTTTTCTTCAAAAATTTTGCAAGTGTATCTAGAAACCATTCGAAACTGGTGAGACTGGAATAGCCACTTCCCTTGCAGGTTAAAAGTGCTCAGGATATTTGAACTTCAGAGTTGACTTAACACTGCTGAGAGGGAGRTGCCTTGTCTAAAATACTTGGGAAAAGAGTCCAGATGTTTGTTACGTGTGATGGTGCTGGTCAGTAACTTCTATTTCAGGGATTTCAGACATCATCTCAGTGTGCTAGAAATCTTACAAGTGTAGGGAGGAAAGAGCTGTTGGTGCATTCCTTGCCCTGGAGGTTTCTCAARTTCATTTCCAGGTTAAGAATCCTTTACTCGAACCTTCTTCCTTGTCTGTCTGACCTTTGGCAGTCAGATCCTTGATGGAATGGAGCTTTACCAGTTTTGTTTGACCAGGATAGCAACTCATCAGACTTCAAAACAATGACTCTAAGAATACAGAAATAATTTACAGTAGTAGTTCTCTTATAGTATCTTACTTAAGCTTAAATTATTTATTGCCTATGTTTAAAAATAAAACCTCCAAGACTGATTTTGTATTACATGAAAAAAATAGAGATTTTTTTTTTGTTTTGTCCCTTTTTTGTTTTCCCCTGTAAATGGTGTTCTTATTCCTCAGAAGTCCATATTTTTTACATCTATAGCAAAGGCTCTCAGGAAGACGTGAAGGATTTCCTGTTCCTACATAGGACTAAATTGCGCTTTCAATTGAAGTCCTTTCACTCTGGAAGAAATTCCTTTGGATTTGATCGTTATTTCCCCTTGATATTAATGAAATTACATAAATTAGTGAGCCTGGTGCAGCTTTCAGCRATATATCAAACTAGAGCAGGCTTTTAGCAAATATATAGTTTTTCTGAATAAAAAACTTGAAAMATAATTTCAATAAATCATACCGCTTACACTGAGTCTGCCCTAAAAAATAAGCTTGAGAAGGTTTTGAATTTCTGTTATTGATTGGTCTGCAGATGCTTGATGTCTTTCTCACATAGAACTGTTGTGTGAAACGTTTGCACTGTTCTTTTTTAAATGTAATCTCTTCCTGTAGTTGAAGTGCTTTACTTGCAGTCAGTTTTTGTGGGGGAGCATGTTGTGGTGTTCTCTTCTATCTCAGCCTGTGTTACTCCACAAAGTATGAGAGGCATCTGCAGGACAGAATGTTGACTGGATTGGAAATCAGTTCTTGGACTAATGTTTTGTGTGCTAGCTGAATATCAAACTTGTGTGTCAGATTAATGCAATGGTAGACATTTCCTTCCCTAGTTATTTACACAAAAGCTAAAATTTCTGTTTATGTTAAACTTAGCTAGCAAGAGAACAGGATGTGGTGAGCATACTGGATTTAGTGCTGCTATACCACTTTGTTTAAATCAAAAGGGGAACAGATGAGCAGCTTTCAATAATGTTTGTGTTCCACACATCCTTTWAAAAAAATTTTACTATTTACTTATTGACAAATACAGGGTTTTTTGGCAAGGCCACATAACGTAAGCTTAAAAAAACAAATGAAAACGTTCTGTAGGGTATTTTGTTTTGTGAGATCAGCATATAGTCTGGATATTTCAAAGCTTTTTCATGAGCTTTGCATCAAAATGATTAAATTTGATGGTTTTGCTGAGTTTGGTCACTCCTTGGTATAAGTCTCTAAAAATGAATTGAACTGAGAGTGAATTCAGCCCTTTGGCTAAAAGTACCATGCTGTTATTATTATCCTACCTTATAATAAGAAATGTACTCCACAGCCCTTTTCCAGGAAATACAAAATAGCCATCCAGCATCCATCTGGTAAGATTCTAGGTCTGACAGAGTCRTTCAGCAGATGCCTAGGGAAGGGTGTAATAATAGGTTGTGAATAGAGTGATGTTCCTCAGGTATATTCTTCCAGCCTCCACTGGTGATGTAACTCTGCTTCCTGAGGTGAGGTGGTATCTTTTCATTCAAACTGGAGTGTGCAACRTTGTTTAGGAAATCAAAATTACCAATTTCACACTATGAAAGCAAAAAATACACTTTTGAAGTCTGATAAATTGAAAAAAAGGACAGTAAAAAAAGTTTAGAAAGAAATGGTTGTAGTCAAAGAGACTTGCAATGGTCATTTGGCTTCCAAAGTATTTGTGTGCAGAATGTGTCAACATATCAATCACCATTGAAAAAAGGCCTCACAATGTTTTGTTCATTGCTTTTATGCAAGTTATATATAGTAAATGTTAGCTGTCAAGATTAATTTTATTCCTTTATTTTTAGAGCTTATTTAATACTTGTTCCTTTGTCACCTAAAGAAAGCTGATTTTGGCATTACTCTGCATGCAAAATTATCAATGAAGTTTTTGTGTATACATGTTATAACAGTCAGTTTGTAAAATCAGAATTGAAAATGTTTGAAGATCTGGAATTAGTGGTCCCATAAAAAATGATACAATACTAAATCATCTCTGAAAACTAAGATTTGCATCTATTATCAAAAACAGGGAGAGGAAGCAAAAAATGAGCAAGAGAAGTGCACCATATGACATTGCAGCCCACAGAAGTAATTTACTATGTGTGTCACCCGTCTTAGCTCTTTGGAACTATGGACAATAAGGCAGTCATTGGCAAAAGATTGTATCATTTTGACCAGTTTGAAAGATCTGTGAGAGTTTTCCTAAAAGCCTCATTGATTTTCCAGATTCAGTTAGTTCAAGATGATTTAAATCTGCCCTACAACTAGGCACAGTATTCTTTCCTTACCCTGTGCCATGCACTGACACATTTCTTCCCTGCCACCATCTAAAGCTGTGCATTTCTACTCTTCCCCTGATGCTAGCACTATTTTTTTTTTCTTAGAGCTAGTATTTAACTCAGATCCCTGATGTGGCTGGCTGCATGCAAGGCTTAGTCAGGGAAGCAGCAGAAACGTGGCAGGATCAGGTCCACACAAGGCAGGCAAGAGCTGCTTCTTCCAGTTGCAACTAAATTTAGATTGGCTTTAAACTGACCATGAAACTTTTGTTATTAGTATCCTTGTTTCCAGTGCTTATTTAACAACTGCATTSAGTCCCCTAACTGCATTCTGTAAACATCTCTGTAGCAAGTGGTGATGTCATTTTACAGAGAAGTAGGAGTACACGTGAAGGATACATTACCAGGGGGCCACATGGCTGTTTGAAAGCAAATCTGTTTCTAAACAGGTACACATTATTTGAAGATCAAGAATTTAATAGTGTAAAGGCAACAAAAAGGGTAGTACTAGTAAAAGTAGCCTTGGCCTGTCATGGCTGAGTTTTTTAAAAGCTGTAAACTAAAATAAAAGCTTCTCTGCATTCATAATTGGATGTATCATTTAAAGGCTTAATCTTCAAAAGTACTAAGTGTCCTGTCACTCTTGTGGTTAAATGTTATGTTAGAACTAAAGGAACATTGTCCATTTTCTGAATGAACTAGCAGCACTAATTGCTGCTCAGGGCAAGATCACAGACCAGGCAGTTAAGATTTCTCAGTGTCTTGGTAAGTTGCAATCATCTCAGCTGCAAAGGAAAATTGAAGTGTTGCATTTAGAAGCATTGTGGGTTTAATGCAAGGTAAAACTTCTATTTAATATTTTGTGTAAAAAACATGGGTAGAAGAGGAGGCAGCAGAGGGTGCTGTGTTATATAATTGCCATCCTAGCTCTGCCTAGTCACAGAGCTGATTTGATGAAGCTACTTAGCGCAAAAATGCACCAGCCAGGAAAGAAAATTAGTACATTCCAAGTGCAAGATGGAAGCTATTTCCTTGGGTGAAAAACCCAGATGCTTGATACTGGTTCAGCTTACAGTTTGTGTGACAGCTTCAGCTGTGCTTAGTGCTGTATCTTTGTTGTGGTATGATGAGTGCTGAGCACCTCTGGGACATATATTGGAGGAACATATGTGTGCTGTCAAAATGAGCTGATTCATTGATGTGACATTATGTGATGCAAACACTGGAAACCTATTGCAAAACACTCTTTTCTCTTTCCTGTCTGGTCAATATATATATATATATATATGTATATAGGCATGTCATATACGAGTGTGTGTATATGTTTCTTTTCTGTTCCAGTACTCGTGAGAGCCTGGCATCCAACACTTCAAGTATTGTTGAAAGCAACAGACGTCAGAACCCAGCTCTGAGCCCTGCACATGGTGGTGCAGGACCAACGTTCAGCTTCCGAGCCACTGCAGACCCACCCACAAGTGAAGCTGAGAAACTGCAGAAACCTGGTAACTGCCTGCAAGCTTCTGTCACTAGTGTCTGATAGTCAGCCTGCCTCAGATCGTCTGTCTCACCCTATACAGCAAAGTTTACGACACAGGGACTGATGTTTACATCTTCGGGGAAATAAAAAACAAGCATCTCAACCACAGTTTTAGTGTTTACTTAAACTGTGCTGCTATGTAGACTAGGGGCAACAAAGAAATCTTTATTTCAAGGTATTGCTTTTCACATTTGCGGCTCTGTAGCAAGAGAATAGCAGTAGGGATAATATGTACACTTTTTTGCTTCACTTAATTGTAACTGAGCACATATATGAAAGTCTAGACACTGTAAGTGTAATCTGCATTTTCAATGTCCATGCAGTTGCCAACTTCATTTAAAAAAATGCCACAGATGTGTGATGCCCCTGGTCAGAGGCTAAACTCTGCTGCAGAGTTCATAACTTTTCACTTCAAAAACTGAGCCACTGCTGAAAGTAACTAGCCCGGATCATCATGAGGAAAAACAATGCCAAACATGACAAGTCATGACCTCAGCTCTATATGTGAATTATGAATACTAATCAGTCATTTTCACTGTGCATTTTTGTGACACAATTTTACAAATTCCTGGTTAAGCAAGTAAAAGGAGGTTTAGGGTTTGTTTTGATTTGCTTTTTTTCTAGATATGGAGGGTGGGAAGGGAGGCATCTCCTCCATTTTTTTCAAAAGTGTGAGAGATGTTTACTTAAAGAGCCTTGTTACTTAACCTTCCATAGTCACCAGTGAGGAGGTGGACCTTTACATAGAGGGGGGAGTGGGGGGGGGGAAGGGAAAGATATAATTGTCATGGAGCCACAATGTGGAGTGACACAAAATATATTAAATATCTTAAGTATAATTCACATATTTTAAAAAGATAATCTAATTCTGTGTCACTTCTGGTATTGCAACTTGCCATTAATATAGRAATCAGGAGAACTAATTTCTTGGAACAAAAATATCCTTTATGATATAAATGACAAGTATGGCCTGAAGAATTGATTTCTTTCTAGTGGAAGGACATAAATCTATTTTATGTAGCTTATTAAATAGAGTGCCTAAATTAGGCTATTAAAACTAGCATACAGTGTAATGATTATCAGAGAACAAAATTTAGAGAATTATAAACTTCTGGCCTTTTTATTCAGTGGATGTTATTTGCAATTTTATGGACATGTCTGCTTTCTAGAAATTCAATGTGTCCACTTGGTTTGCAGTAGAAATCTGAGTCCTGCAGGCACAGTACATCCTAATTGCTTCCCTGAACTGTTACTCCAGTGTAATTAGTACTGTTCTAATTACTGCAGAGTAAATTCTACAGATAGTTAAACTCCAAGAGTAATTTTAGGTGTAGGGTCACATTCTGCTCTGTTACTCTGTTACTGTGCAGCCTGGTAGTGCAACAAACTGACKTTTCTATAAGAACAGACAAATTGGTGGAAGAATAACAAAGATACTAAAATGTGCAACAGCCCGAACGGTTTCATATTAAAGGGGCATTTACCCTGTCTAGCTCTTGTAGTACACAGGTATAAAACCCAACTGTACATATTAAAACCCAGTATTTTCATCAGGTTCTGGTGACATTTATTACTCTGTATACAAAGTCATTTGAGCTTCACTTATGTTCTCTGTTGTCATCAGAAGTCTTTACTGAAGATTCAGCCATATGTTACACTGTCGGATATTGTTAATTTGCTTATAAAACAGCTTTCTAACTCTGGATACAGTCAGTTTCCTGTTCACTCAAGAATACCCAATCCATTGACAGATGGACAGATCTGTTTTCATTGATTTCAGTGTATAATTTSCATTTCATAGGAGCAATAAGACCTTTCAGTGCACATGAAAGAAGTTATTGTGCTTTTGGTTGGTTATCAAAGTCACTTGGCCTTTAGCCTTCTGCCTTATCATACCTTCCAAGATATGCTCTAATTACCCTATAATGCTTTGCATGATGCATCTTACTGTTTGATATGTAACTCCAGCCGTACTTATTCCATGCGAACTGTAGAGTCAGAGTTCTTGTGGGGAGTTGTCATATACTATGCAGTGGCTGACTGTGATTTTGTTTCTGAGATGAGCTCTGACATCAGTAGTATGTATCAATTCAGTAAATAAAAATGTCGAAATGATAAAATTACAGTGATGATCTGAAGTACTAACGGCAGTATTAAAATGTGAAGAGCAGAAACAGGTTTCACCTTTCGGGAAATAATTGTTTGTCATAAGCTAATCAGAATTTATGCAGGCAGCTGGTTGTACAGAAGACATAATTCCAAGAAAACATAATAGTACATACCTATAAACTGTATAGTATGTTATTTCSTAAAGTTCCCAGAGACCAGCAGACAACATAAATGTCATATTAATGTTGACATGGCATTGTACCAATATTAATGTGACTCCTGGAATATGGAATGTAAACAGAAGTTTCAAATAGAAACGTTCTAATCTTGATTTTTTTTCTTTTCCTTTTAAAATCAACAATGGAAAATAAGGAAATTCCATCTTGAGGTTCTGGTAACAAAACCACGAGAGTGGAGCTTGAGTGCTTTATGTCACCCTAATCCTTTGATGAAATCATAGCCTTGTATTATGTGGTTGCTTATCTGTCATTCTGCTAATGTATCAATTTAAAGGTTTACAGAGTTAGATTAGGTTGAATCTGTATTGTGTTCAACTGTAAAGGGTCAACACAAATCTGTCGGCATTTTGCACACTTAATATGTATTATTATAATACAACATGTTACTTTTATGGTAATTTTTTTTACGCATATAACTACCTCCATGAATTTGATGAAATGCAGCAACATGAAAAGTGTATTGTACAAAGCAAGGTTAGAAACTTTGAAGCATTAGGTCATGGCGTTCTCTTGTGTGTCAAAGCTTGCATATGAAGTCATCATGTTTCCATTGCCACAATTTTCTTCTACAATGTTAAAAAGATGGCTTTCAGATGAGTCACTTAAAGACTTTGACAAGGCTGCATAATTGGGATAAAAGTGAAAGGGAGGCTGAAACCTTCCATCCTCTCCCCAGTTACTGCTAAAATTTCTGCCTGGTAGAACTTGAAAATGTATTTGTAATTTAACAAATTAGAAACATCTTCAGTCTGAAATATGATTGACAGTTTGGGGTTTAACAGAAGACACTCTGGGTATTTTCTTGGCAGCCTTCAGGTATTTGGGGCCCTATTCTGCCTCCATCTTTGTCAAATTAGTACATCATGGTTTCTCTGAACTGGCAAGGGTGTTGAAACAGCTCTTCCTTTAATGATACGCATGCTGGTCTCTAGATTGTATGCATCTAAAATATTTGCTCCTGTAGAAATTATCAACAGCCTTTAATTGACATTGCTGGAAGCAGCATTAGGGTCCCTACTCAAGGTATGTGCCTATTGTTCAAAGAACGTGGGCAAGTTTCCAAGAAAAATTAAGCTAACTTTTGAAAGATAGCCAGCTGCAACAAGCCACCTTTCAAGAGGGAAGAAAGATTTTTACAAAAACCAAAGGAAAAAAGTGGCAGTTGAACCTAAGCAGATCGCATTATATACAAATCCCGATTTATGAACACCTTTCAGCAAACCTAGTACCATTATCCTGATGMAAATTAATATACAATCATCAGTTGAGCTGATTTTGCCATTTTAAATATTTCAGTTAAAATTTRGAAGAAATCATTAGCCATTTGACTCCCTGGACCACTGACTTACATATGAAACAACGTTCACTCAACTTAAAAAAATAAAAATGTATTGGAAAACAAATATTTTATGAAAACCATGGCCTAAGTGCTTGCCAGCAGTAGTCATTGTTAGAAAAGAGAACAAGCAAACCACTATTCAGAGGCCATCATGAGCACAGACAATACTTTGTACTTAAATCACAYCTTTTTGGCTGAGGGTCTCAAAGTACTTGCCTGTGAGGTAGGCAGAGTTGACTGACCCTGCTTTTTGTCTGGGCCCACTGGAAAAAGCAAAGACTAAGAGTCTGCAGACTAACTTATTAACTAGTTGCTTTCTTAARGTTACTGAAAGAAGTTTAACAGAAGTTTAACCAAAGTGTTTCATGTTTATACTCGGAAGTTATTCTTTTGATGCATTCAGTTCATTTAAGGAAGAAACTACTTTACAGACCTGCAGACACTCTTGGATTAGCAGTTCTAAAAAGAAGTTTGCAGTCATACAAGTCCTGGCAGCGTAGGTTTTAGAAACAGTTGCGTTAATTAAAATTTGTTTTTCAAATACATTTTGCAGTGCTTTTCCCAACACAATTGTTCAAATTGTTGTGCTGAGAAAGCAAATAGCACCCCTAATCTGGTGTCATACCCATAGTTTACAATTCTCTTTGCTCTTCTGAAGAAAACTGTACAGTATTAGAGAGAAAAGTTCTATTTTTTACTAAATTCTTTAAAAAAAAGGGTATATATCTAAAATGTTCCCCCTAGCATAAGTAAAGTGCATCATTACTGCATRAGACACATGCAGTGGACCCACCAAAAACCAAGCTGGTGCTAGAAGAAACGGGACTATCACACTTCTTTTATAGTGGCGCTCTGAACATTGTTTTCAGTTATGCGAGTGCTAATCTGGCATAACTGCCCTGATCTCCACGGATCTGAGAGAGATGGGAATGGGTCGTTAACTCCATTGAAGCTCAGTTCTGAGCTGAGGGTTTCCGTGTTCCTCCCCCCGCCCCGAGACACTAAATGCAGAGAAGGAGCATAAGGCCACGCACCTGGCTCTGGAAGGGCAGCCTGGGCTGAATCCCTGCTGAAACGCACAGCCATCCAGCCGGGATGCCGTGACAGCCACCATGTGTGCCCCACCTCGGAAGGGTGATTTTCCATGTGGTGCACTGCCCTCGTGTTGGATAGYGGTTAGAGCCACCCAAAGGATACCCACCCACAAGTATGAAAGGGCCCTTGGAGTAATTGGCACAGATGTTACTTTTATGTGTGGAGGAGATTTTAAGTTTGAAGGGATCATAATTCTGCAGGTAATTTTCTGTGAGTGACTGAATGTGGCTGTTGCATTAGGTTTAAATGAGTTAATAAATGCAAGTGGGACTTACTGTATGTTAGAAGGGAGTTTTGCAGCCAAGACTGCCTTGTATAAATGTGTTTGCACTGAAAAAAAAATTAAAAATTACTTGGTCTCTGGTTGCTGTAAAGGTCATCCAAGATGGATGTTCTGTTTATATTGTATAGTATTTCATATGAAATAATTGCAGTTCATGAAATGTCTTCCCTAACGTTACTGATTTATAACAGCACATTTGTAACATGGTTTTTATTGTGTCAGTGTACCATATTGTAAATGATGATTACTTGTCATGCTTAGTATAATAATTTAAAGGAAAAAAAAGGACAGGGATTTTTGTAAGTCTATATTTGAAAGTCCCTCCATATGGTAATATTGTGTTCATGTTGTTTATGTAGTGTTGTGTGAAATATCCATTTTGGATTGTGTTACTTTTTAAGATATTAAATAACATTTGGTTATATGTTCTAAGTGGATTCTTTGCACTCATCGGTGGTTTTTAGGGAGTATACTTTCATTTCCATTTAACATGCTGTTTCTCTCCCTCACTTAGGAAACCATGCACAACAAAGCAGAAATCTCAGAAAAACAAATATCCTAACAACTTACTGTGTTCCCTTGTGCTTTAWAAAAGCTCTTTGGGCCATTAAGTAAGTGTGCAAGGGAGTGCTGATTTGGACTGGATGTGAGGTTGACAGCTTCAGGAGGTGTGTGATTTCCACTGAATGCGTCAGTGCCCAGCTGAGATGCACCCAGCCTCTGGCAAATAGGACATCCTGATGCTGAGAGGAGC